CTGTTCAGCCTACTCTACCTGTTCCTCCCAGGTCTGGTTCATGTTTAGTGTGCATGTATGCATGCATGTGTCATTATTGATGTCACTGTTAGTGATCACACTAGATGCACCATGCCCAGGCCCAACTGAAGCATGTCTAGCCCACATCTTCAAGCAGGCCCAGGTACGGTATGGGGTGATCACACTAGTCAAACGAACTGGACTTTGGGGGTCAAACGTGCTTGAGCACGGTACGGATCGCCTAGTGTGAGCACACCCCGTGTCATCACCAGTTCTTTGGAAAGTACAGGGTAAATCTGTCTCTCAGTATTTGATGTCTGTGTTCCAGGAACGGATGCAAGCATCCCCGTCCACATCAACAACATCTGCCAGAGGAACTATGTCACTGTGGAAGGGGGCCGCCGGCTCAAGCCAACCAACCTGGGCGTCGTGTTGGTGCACGGCTACTACCGGATAGGTGAGTGTCTGCTGGTTGGCCTGGACTGAACTGGCCTACTGATTACTGATTTTATGCTATTCCAGTACTGTCGTTGGTTGTTGAACCAGAGGGACCTAATCAACTGTTTGAAAAGAGGACACATGCCATGCCGTTCTTGTACTGTCATTGGGTGCCTCTAGTTCATCATCCAATCAGCTGTTTGAAAAGCAGTCATGTGCTGTAATCCCTCCTATATTACCCCATGGAGATCTTTCCTTACATTGTTTGTGCCTGTTCTTGTGTGTGTGCGAGGCAGATGCCGAGCTGGTGCTGCCCACCATCCGCAGTGCGGTGGAGAAGCAGCTTGGCCTGATTGCTCAGGGCAAGGCTGACTTCCAGCAGGTCCTGCAGCACACGCTGGACATCTTCAAGAGGAAGTTCCACTACTTTGTAGACTCCATCGCAAGTAAGACTGACCTTTTTGATTACCCTTTATTTTACTTTATAATCATTTGATTAATGTAATTTTTTGCTTTATGTCTTATTCGGAGAGAACTTTTTTCAGTTCTGCACTGTATCAAATACATCTTGAATATAATTTTAGATGCATTATAAGATGCTCCTTGTGTTTGGTGTCATCCAGGGAGGAAGTGAATAGTTCATCATTTTCATTTACTAGCTGATTCCCTCAGCAGTGCCTCTGGCTCTTACCAGGCACCTTTTTAATAGAGCAAATACCTGCATTTTAGCAATTTTTAGCTGTTTTGTTTAGCAAACAGCAATTTGGAAGTACCAAGGAATATTTCTTAAATAGTTAACTTTGTTACTGTTCATGCATTTGGGTTAAAACATAAACCATCATGCAGTCCAACTCTGCCTTCGGTTTAGGCTATAACTAGCTAGGCTTTAGGCTAGCTAGTTAGCTAATTTTTCATGCCATTAAACAATCCATACACTGTACCCCGGTGTATTGCTTCTCAGGTATTTGGGAGTTACTATATCATTGCATTCTTCATGTGATTCACACATCATTTCTCCAGTTTTTAGGAGGGTAGTTTCAGCCATTCTGGCTCAGTCAATAAATTTGTGAAAGTCTGCCCCTAGTGGCACATGCCTTATTCTACGTTGAGCGACCAGAGCCATAAGGCGCAACAAAAATGAGGAAACACGTGTCAAATCCATGAACAGTAACCTACACAAATCTTCAGAAATTCAGGGTCAATTGGAATAAGGAAGTTTGACCTCCCAGGCCTGACTGACTGACTGACTGACTGACTGACCCACCCACCCATTTAGGGGGTCCAGGGGCCCAGTTTTGATTACTGCAGTGGTTACAATCCCCCCTGTAATGCATGTACACACACACACACACCCTGTCATGGTCTTTTTCTGCTCCTGAAACGTCTGACCGCTTCTCCTCCCTTCTGCCGCCTGCAGGCATGGATGAGCTGATGGAGGTCTCCTTCTCGCCCATCGCGGACACGGGGAAGCCGCTGTCACGCTGTGGCAAGTGCCATCGCTTCATGAAATACATCCAGGTGAGTGTGCATGTGCTGCCAGCACCCAGTGAATAAAGACCCGGCCTGATGAGCTGGCGGCTGCCATCTTAGACCCCACTGTTTGACCTTTGAACATGGTATGAATTAGTAACATGTGTAGTTGCGTATGAAGTTGTATAAACAGATAAAGGGTACAGATGTAAACTTTCTTTTCTTTTGATTAAAAATACTCAATCAGTGTGAAAGGCAAAACTCTCACATATCCCATCATGGTCTCCAAGAGAATCACATACACATGTACAGGTGAGAAGCAGTCTAGGGGTAAGAGGGCAGGGTTGACCAGCATCTAGCATCCTGAGTGCAGTTGAGGTTAGGGGTCTTGTTTAAGGGTCCAACAGTGTCATCAATCTGCCAGCCACAAGACCTGATCACGGACACCCAGCCCTGCCCTGCCTTGTAGGCTTCAGCAGGTATTACTTACCTGCCTTTCCTGATTCAGTTGATGGTGGTTTTCCAGAATTCCCAGTTGCTTTTTTTTCCCCCTTTGGGAAAGATATGCAGCACGTCTCCTGGCTGTTCGTCTCACTCGAGGGGCTTGCTGGTTCAGAGCCCATCCTCTGGCCTCCTCAGCAAGTCATCATTCAGTCCTGTTGGACATCATGGTCTTGCTGGGCCTCTGCCTCCTCTGTGTACTAATGCTATGCTTGTTGAATCTTCATGGGACGCACTGCCCCCTCCCCCCCCCCCCACAGCCTTATTTACATAGACACAATCCCCGGGTTTTAATGAATGAACTCGATGCACATTTGCCTTCCAGGCCTTATTCATGTTGTATTGCTGCCTGTAATATTAAGGCATGTCCTTGGATGCTTGGGTTGCATAAGTGCCACTGATTGCCATTGAATGCTAGCTGATGGGTCTGGCCTTTTTCGCAGAAATAATATCATTGAAATTAATGGTCTCTTACCCCCTGCACTCTCCCCATGAATAAATCATAAATGTCCCACCGGCTTTGAATGATTCACAGTTCAACTGCTTGTCATCTTCACAAAAAAGTCCACCTGTTTCATCCTGTTTCTTGCAAAATGTTCATCAGGTAGGGTCAAGTTGTTATCAAGAGTACCTCCGTATGTTTTCTGGACAACTCCATTACGCTGGTTGGTTTGATTTAGCCACATATTTGCTGTTCTTTTAGATTTATCCTCAGGTTTGGCCCAGTTGGTCCATGTAACACCCAGTCTGCTCAGAATGTACTGCTATGGTACCGTACCTGAAACAAGAGGATGTATTCAAGGGTGGGTTTGTTGTTTTTGCCACCCCCCCAATAGTAATAAATAGGTAACGATCGTGGCTTTGGCTAGCTGCTTAGCAGAACTGGCTGCGTCAGCATCTACTAAATAAAGAAGGTTTTTCTTTAATATCTGGTGTAATGACTGTTTGTGGTCAACAGGGGGCCCCATGCAAACATGTGGTTCTGCTGGATATATGCCAGTGAATCGCTGCGCTGCATGTAGCCTTTGCACACACCGTGATTTGCGTACATCCCCTCCCCCAGGCCAAGCCCAGCCGCCTCCATTGCTCACACTGCGACGAGACGTACAGCCTGCCGCAGAATGGCGCCATCAAGCTGTACCGTGAGCTGCGCTGCCCACTGGACAACTTCGAGCTGGTACTGTGGAGCTCTGGGGCGCGGGGAAAGAGCTACCCACTGTGCCCCTACTGCTACAGCAACCCACCCTTCAGGGACATGAAGAAAGGTGCAGTCTATAACCAGCAAGGGATGTGGCTCATCAGATTTAAGGGGCTTCAGCTGCAGACCCCACATGACCAGGCCAAGGACAAACAGCTGGAAGATGCTTGGATGTCATATATCATAAATAAATGCTGTATTAAAACCGTGCTTATTAGTCATACAACAAACAGCCCAGTAAACATACAGTAGTCATGCATTCTTTATCTTTTTTATTAAAGTTTTAGCCTTTTGATTTGTATATTTTCTTGGTCTGTATCAGGAGTCTGGTCTTTTAATTAGTCAAGCTAATTAAGTAGATGGTCTGCTGGCTAGATGTGGTATAGATTGCATTAATCCTTTTCCTGTTGTGAGCGGCAGGCTTGCGCTGGCCTGTAATTGACTAACCCTCTTGTGCCCCCACCCCCGTCACAAACAGGAATGGGCTGCAATGAGTGCACGCACCCGTCATGCCAGCACTCGCTGAGCGCGTTGGGCATCGGCCAGTGTGTGGAGTGCGATGCTGGCGTTCTGGCCCTGGACCCGTCCTCGGGGCCCAAGTGGAAGATGGCGTGCAACCGTTGCAACGTGGTTGTGCAGTTCTTTGAGCATGCGCACCGCGTGCAGGTGACGGCTGAGAGCTGCGAGGCCTGCGAGGCCGCCCTGGTCTCCGTGGACTTCAGCAAAGCCCACTCGCCACTGCCTGGCAGCGCCACCCAGCACACCGGCTGCGTTTTCTGTGACCCTGTCTTCCAGGACCTGGTGGAACTGAAGCACGCCACCATGAGGCACCCCATGCATCGTGGGGGCCAGGCCCGCCGGCAGGGAGGCCGGGGCCGGGGCCGGGGACGACGCCCGGGTGGGAGAGCCAACCCGAAGAAACCTAAGGACAAGATGGCCGCCCTAGCAGCGTACTTTGTTTAGCGAACGGGAAATCTATGTGTTCCTGTTGACATCAACGCTGTTTATCTGTGTTCATTTAACTTAGAATAAATTTATACACAAAAAAATCACCTGTTTCTTGTAATGCATGGCTTTTCTTTCTACTTTTACAAAAAAGGGTTTAATGTCCATTTAACACAGAAAGCAGCAAATTTCCAGTACTATCTCAGAAGTAGTTATAATTGCAAGTAGCATATTAGAGGGTGAGCAATGTATTTTATATTCAGTATGAGCTGACTACTTACATTTTACTTCTAGACTTTTTCTTATTTAAAACTGACTGTGGACAAAACCAATGCAACTCTTTGAATGAAAAATGGAAATTTAGCTTTAATGTTTCTTTTTACAAATATCTGCAATTCTTGGATGCCTATAAAAATTGGTAACAAAAAAAAAAAAAGTTCTAGGTAAGTAAGCAGGAAGGTCTATTTTACCGAAACATTGTGGTGTATGATGGATGACTAGGAAAGACAGATCATACACACGTGCAACCTATGAATATGCGAAAAAGGAAATGATTGCCCGGCTTTACAAGTTGATGCAAATCTGTTGCTTAAGGTTTATTTTAGCCGTGCATTAAGGAAAAGGATTTTTGCGAAAGCGTCACAGAATTGCATTCTATAACCGGCAGGTGGCGCCGTGTCCGCCAGTGCCTAGGAAGGTGGCCATTTTTGAAGAAACGCGCACGCGTTCTTTTTCAAACGGGATGGAGCGTAACAGTTTCCTCACGCAGCCACTTCCGTAGGGTGAATGTCGACAAGGAGCGTAAGAAGGGTGTCGGTTTCGAGGTAAAAGAAGTGAAACCTCATTTTTTTGGCCTCTTCGTGGATGTTTTTCAAGCAGCAACGGAAAGGCCACCTAAGGTACTAATTCTGACCATGCTTTCCATTTTAGAAACATTCTGGTCTGCCGTAGCATTAGACACTTTGTGCGACCTAACTCGAAATGTTTTGTTTTCCTTTGTATTGACACGTAATTGTTGGTTATTTGTTTAATAAACTATATTTGTGGTTTTGTTATTGGACTCGCTGGTGTGAATTTTAACAATGTCATTAAGCAAATTAAACCGCTACAGGGACGCGACGTTACTTTGTAGCACTGAGCTGTATACAATACATACATGCAGACGTGAGAGCAGGAGATGTACACATTCTCCTTATTGTGCCAGCTGTCATGTACCATCAGCCGTAAATGCTTTTTAAGATCAAGTCAAATATATATCCTGTTCTTTCAAATAACTGGTTAGTAAACGTTATGCAGTCCAAGGGTTTTTCAAATTCTTTAACCAAATATCTGGTATAAAGAAAAGCTGTTAAAATAACATGAACCACACAAAACGTTTTTCTTTCTAGCACCAGTTTGCATTTAACCCTGGTTAACACTGACCAACTGCAGAAAAATGTTGAGCTGATTCTTGCACTTTTTTCAGTGTCTTTTCCACAGGTGCTGTTCTCACTGTCTGTCTGTTGAGGACATCCCTCTGTAAAACGAGGACCAGGAAAGAAGTTCTGAGGAAGCAACACGGGCAGGCAGCATGGGCACAGAGGCAGCCAGTACAGAGCGCTTCCTGCGCGAGTTTGTGGAAGAGTTTCCCGAACCACTCAGCCCAGAAGACCCGCTGCCCCTCACACCCACGAGTGGCCGGATTGGTGTCGGCGAGGTGCGGGGCGAGAGCCTGGACTGGGCACAGCGACTGCTTGCTGCCAGGTCAGTAGACGGGTGCACCTGCATCAGTGTGCTGCAGCTGCTTACATACAAAAGGCTTGATGTGCCAGTTCAAGTTCCAGGTGGGGAATGCAGTCGTACCTATAGAGTAAAGAACATCATGTGATTCTCTTCAGTGGGAAGTCTGAAAAGAATGGATAATGGTTAAGCACCGTAAGAGATGCAAGTTATTTTATTTTAGAGAATTGTCTGGTAAAGGGAGTTTTATTTACACAAAAAAATGATTGGTTTAGAGAGAGAACCAATCACATTGTAGAGAAGGCGAGTCCAAGCAACTAGAGGAGGAGGGACCAAGACATCTGATTGGTTGGTCTTAAGTCTGACCAAGGTCTGATTGGTTATTTTTCTAAACCACTCATTTTTCATTCTGTCCTCAGAACATTTTTGTGCAAGTAAAACTCCCCTGAGCCCATTTGTCTTAAAACGCGATGGGAAAAGATTCTACAATAAACAACAGACTTTACATTGAGGCAGTTTAAAAGTTGCTTGATACACATGCACACCTTTGGTCAGCTGGCTGGCATGAGATTTTCAGTTCAAGTGTGCACTCACACACACACACACACACACACACACACACGCATTTACATGTATGTAACAGTTGTATTACCTTGTAAATAGTCTGTAGAGTTTGCAAACTATCTCAACACTCGTCAAAAGCTTCCATGTTGGTATTTAAAGTGGACGCTAGTGAATCGATCATGCACAGTGTGTCCAAAGCTGTGCATACAAAGCTGCACGGATACAAATTTTGGAGTGCAGCAGGCATTCGTTTGCGGAGGTGCACAATGATGTCAAAGGCTTCACAAACGTTCAAGTGGACACGTCCGATAGTGCGCTTATGTAGAAGTATGAACCAGCCTTAATGCATAGCTGTGTATTTTGTGGGCAGGATGGAATCTGTTTCAGATCCTAAATTAAGTGCTGGGTGTAATATTTGACATATGGTTGGATTCTAAATCCAACCAGGTGAAAAATATTTAGGCTGTACGTGCTTTGTAAGGAAATGCAAGTCCTGTCCTGTTTACACCTGTGCTTTTCTGTGGAGGAGAGGAGCCCTGCTTGTAGGATGACCAGCACATTCCTCACATTCCACTCCTGCAAAAAAAACACAACAACAGGCTTAAGGTCTGCAGCCCTGCCTGGTCCCCTGTGTCCTGGCCAGTGTGTTTTCAGCATTAAACACAGCAGGTCTCACCTAGCAAACGCTGATATGCTGAAGAGTAGGAGGCAATTAATGAGTAATCTGTAGGCCATGCCTGTTTTTTTTTTATTTGTCTTCCTCCCAGAATGTTTTGGGGATAAGCTCTGACTTCCTCTGAGCAGAACCAGCATTGTTTAGCCCTTTTCCTGGTTTTCAAAACACATTTCCTGTTTCAGTCTGCTTTGCGGCACACTTACAAAATATGGTGAGCAGGCGAAACACAATGAATAGTCTTCACCCTGCAGTTTAGTGTGCTGAGGTATCTTTAACGTTGGCGTTCCTTCTTGGTGGTGGGGGGGGGGGGGGCTGGGGGGACGAACAACCTTTACTTAGTGGTAGTAGTTCTGTCTCATGGATTATTTTGCAACTGCTAGTAACCACAGCTGCGCTGAATCTTACTGAGGAATCTGTTTCTCATTCCAGACTGCTGATAGGTGGCTCCCTGGAGACCATTTTCTTTTTTTTTTAAATACTCCTTTCAGGGCTGCGTGCTGCAGAGTTTGGCAGAATGGTAGTGCAAGGAAGGAGATTAAAATGTGTCGGCATAGATGGGTAAAAAACGTCTCGAGTCCCACATATATCACAGAATCCCTTGCTTGCTTGTGTGTTCCCCCTTTGAATGTTCATTTACTGTAAGCCTGGGTGGACAGAGTCTAAGCAAACAGATTGGACTTGCGCATGGTTGGCTGTAATATTCAGCTGGGCGCTAATAGGATTAGTGTAAGCTAGGGGCCATAATGACATCCTTTGTTTGTGTCCTGTTTGTTCAAGAGCCTTCTGATTCCTCTTAGAAACAAGAATTCGTATCTCAGCAGCATTTGTCAGCTCATTGATGACCTCATTGTCTGACGCCCAGCTGTGTCACTGATTCTGGATGAGGCCCCTGGAAGTTTGGGACTGTTACAGTCTCTCTGCAGCCCTGTGAGAATGTTGTGCAAGTGAACCTGAGGGCGAAACTCTGTGGTCCTAAAGATGACAGGATGAACTTTCTCCGCTGTGTAACTGTAACTGTCACCTCCTCTGTGAGGGAAATCCCTTCTTTTTTTCAGGGTGGTCCGAGATGGTAGGCCGGAAATTCAGTTTGATTACTTGATACCTATGTCTTGATTTTTATTTTTTTTATAAAAGTTGGCCAATACTAATACGTTAACCAGTTTATGGTGCATCTGAAAAACAAAGTCAAGAAAGGAGAAAGTCTCCCTGCTGGTCACTTGCAGCCTTTCTCACATGCCCCCCCCCCCACCCATCTACAGGAAAGCCCCACCTCTGCTGACTGCCCTGCTTTGCCACACAGCTGTGACAGAGCTCCTGAAGAGCGACCTGACCTCCTGTCACTGCACCACGGACCCCGAGCAGGAGCCAATCTGTGAGTGCCCTCCCCTCACAGTGAGCTTCCCTGCAGACACATAGAGGCCATGCAAAAATTTGATGCTGCCGTCACACTTAACCTGCCAGACGAGTGGCCATGGAGGTATGTGGAAATTATGGTGTTCGGGCAGTTTTCCAGCTTTCATATTTATGCATCTTTTTTTAGTGCAAGTCAATTTATTCTGACAACTGTTGTAGATTTCAACATACTTTGCTTAGTTTTGGGATCTGAAACTACCGGAGAAGTAAATGATAGTGACTAGCCATCAGCAGTGTGTATTGCAAAGCCTCAACACAGAGCAGACTGGCTAGGGTGTGGTTTGTGGTTAACAAATCTGGCAGCTTATTCTTTGGCCAATTAACCGACTTCCTGTAGGGCTCTTACTAGGGCTGAACGATTTATCGATTTCAAATCGAAATCGCGATTTGAAAGAACGCGATTAGCAAATCGCAAAGGCTGCGATTTAGGACATACATTATACAGAACGTCGGACCCAGGTTTTAAAACTGTTGTAAGAATAGTTTTCCAAACTCATACCGTGCTCCCTATGTGACAGTCGTTCTCACCAATCAGAAGTGGCCCGAGGCGACAGAGTACACAAACAGCAAACACGTGAAACCCGAAGAAAATGTTGCATTCGCGGTGCGGAAAAAATATTGATTCCGCTACTGAGCTATAAGTGAATTCATGGTCCGAGATTGTTTCAGAAAGGTCCTATCATCAATAGAACCGGCGAGCTCCTTTTCAACACCAGCTGCAATATACTTCAGCGTATCATACCTTTTGGTTTTTGTTAATAGGCAGTAGCATTAGTATACTGCTAACCCATCAAAACAACAATACAGTCATGTTTATGTCATATGTTTTTGTGCTTATTAAATTTTAAGTGTTTCAAAAAATTAATCCCCAGTAATAAAATAAAAGTATTGCTTTAACATAAATACTAAAATAATAGATCGCTTTAATCGGTATTACAGTTGGGTATGGGCACGCGGTCTTATTTAGAAAACATACAAAAAGAGACGCATATAATGTTTAATCATTCGTTTTGTATTTGTCCGAGTAACAAAGCAAAGGAATGATAAGCTGCAGTCGAAAACTGCATTTTACTTCTCATTTAAAATAAAATGCAGGGTTGGCAACTTTGGTCAGCTGCATGGAGTGAGATTTTCTGTTCTCTGTTCTGCACACACATTTACATGTATGTGAGTTTTATTACCTTGTAAATAGTCTGTAGGGTTTGCAAACTGCCTTAACATTTTTGATGCAGCTAATTTTAAGTTCAGAATGGAATATAGATTTGCCGTAAGATTTCTTGGGTGGAGTCTGAAAGAGTTTGCAACCATGAACACGTACATTTTTTGTTTCACCTGAATTGATTTGTATAGAAAATAACCGTATACAGTTGTTAAAAAGCGGAAACTTCGACCAACATGAAATCACCAATAAACGACTTCTATTTATTCAACATTTTATAAAATGCATACCAGCTTTACGGTTTCAGGACAGAACAGCCACTCTGTTATGAACATTACGTTTTTTTGAGTGTTATTAGTGTTAATAACAGCAGCTAACAACACAATAGCGCAAACAAAAGGGCTGCATACACCGAAGTAGCTTTTGCTTGTTCATTGGCTTGGGAAAAGGCAGTTCTACTGTTATTAGGAGGGTAATAAGCGTTACCTGCAAGATCGCTATTTTTCTTTTTGCTTCAATTGTTTTCATTATTACTTTATTTAACTTGACACATCACGTCTTTAAATTCTCATCCTTGCATTAGAATATAGACCAGTTAATACTGATGGTATCTCATGCTGCGTCATATGTTTTAAAATTACTACATACTGAATATTGAACTGAAGCTTGACATAAAAATAAATCGCAAATCAAATCGTAATTTCTGTCAGAAAAATCGCGATTCGATATTTTCCCCAAATCGTGTAGCCCTAGCTCTTAAAAAGCATCAGTAGGCCTGTTTGGGAGATGTGAAGGCCAACGCGTTGCCTTTGCGTCTGCCGAGGCACAGACCAGGCATTAGTAGTGCTTTTCTACCACTCCAGCTACCATACTTTTGGTACTTTGAGAAAGGTACTTCAAGGCGTTGGTTTTCCACTGGTGTAAAAATCTTTCAGTTCTGTACGGACATTATAGCTCAGGGTTACTCTGTCATATAAAAATAGCTTTGTAATTTTAATTATTCCTTTTATAGATTATCTAATATATGTTTAAAAAATCAATATAAAGTTTACCTCTGCTGCTTTTGCATAAGTGCTGCATGTGTTCTCCAAGACAGTTATAATCATTTTCATTCTTTCATCCATGGGTTTCTGAGAAATTTGTTAGAAACTCCTTTTTGCTTTATAAAATACCACAATATTTTTTACAACAAAATCACATTGCCAGGACAACACACTATATGCATGCTGTACTAGTACAG